AAGATGTTTCATTAATAATTAAAGGTTGAATTTGACAGCTAGTGTGGGGACAGTGGCTTAAATAATACAGATAGTTTGGTGTTACTGGATTTTTTCAGCAGCTTACTGAAAATGTCAAGGACCTGGGAGTCTCCCACCTCTCTGCTCAAATATCCTCCAGTGTCACTTTTTCCCCATGCATGATTGCTATTGCAGCTCAAGGCAGAAGGTAGATGGTAAAGGAAAAATGATCTATAAGGATATTTTCCTGAGAACAGACTTTCCTCCGTACCCCCAAATCTTTACCTTATGTCTCACAGCCCAGGTGTGGGTTATGCTCCCACCCATAATCATGGGAAAATCCAGAAAGCAAAAAGTATGCTGAAATGCATGATTCTTTCTTAGGATCTGGACACATTGTTATCTGAACAAAGTAAAGAGCAATAATGGGAAGGTGGGTGAGGCACTTTGGGTACACAGCGTCTAACACAAAGGATACAATTGGCAGTGGATCCTCTGTGCCCCCATGGCAAGTTTTTGAGAGACTGCCGCCCTTGGGAGCATGATATTTAATGTAGGCATGTCCAGTAGACGTCACGTGACTAACTGTGTGACGTATTATGCACTGCCTTTGTGGAAGAGGTAATGCAATTGTCACTCACAACTACATAGCTCAGTTTGTCTAACTGGTCGTAAATTCTGGCCAAGGCATAGTTCTGGGTGTGTGGAGAAGTACCTACAATGAAATAAATGTTTTTAATAACTGTGCTGCAAATGCAATGATCAGCCTGTCTCCAAGGATTTTAGAAAGAACTTTGGGTTTTATTTGCTTGGTTAGGTTTTATAGTGAAGACTAAACTTTCCTAATTGATTTTATTACTTGTTTCACCAAAATTTCATTTTGCAATGCCTTGCACATTACCCCATACCTTCAAAGCCAGAAATCATTCCTGATTTAGACTTATGGGAAGATTTTGCATATTTTATGAACATGGGTTTTCTTTGTGTTCTTACAGAGTGTTTATTGTTTATTCTAAAAATAATATATCTATTTTGGGATTTTTTTAAAAAAAATCCCTAATGCTTCGAGCATTGTACTTTGACTGCCCAAGTGCATTTGTCTGATCCTCTCTAAAACCCTGAGGCTTTACTGAGCAAGGCTCTACTGTAGAAGCTTGTTGATCGGCATCTTCCAGCTCTGGTATCATCTCTACTGGGGAGGGGGGCGGGTATTCTATTTCAAATCTCTGGCTGGTTATTGCATTCCTGTATCATTCTGAAATTTATAGTCTATTTAATAGCATTTTTATTTTTTATGATTATGTCAGTCTTACCCATGAGAGGGTCTTAGGGAATATGTTTTGAGTTTCTTTCAATAGCAACCACATCTAGAAACTACCTAACTGAATTATGGGTTTTATTTTTTTACTAGAGGGAGCCATGAAACAGAAATGATTTTAGATGTAGATTATAATAATAATTTGGAGGCATCTTTATGATCTGTGAGTTTCATATCACTCTCATGCCTGGCACTCTCTTTGATTATTACTGTTCTAATAGAGCACTACGAAACTTCTATACATGCCCAATAATAATCTAGACATCCAGGTTAGGTGCAAGGGAGCTAGGGTGTGCTTAATACTGAATTATTCGCCAAAATGTCAAGAACAGTTTGTTCAAGCTATCCCAAAGGGCAGCACAAATTGGTGTTTCTTCTTCAGAGATAATGTGCTTACAATATCTGAAACATTGAACCATCATTAATGAGAATTTTTGTAAAGATAATTTTTTGGAAGTATACAGAGATACTTCAGGGAATCTAAAGCACAAAGTACCCTTATGTAGGATTGGATTCAGAAGCTAGAAAGCCATCAGGGAGCAAGGTATCTTCCTATTTTTGCGTCTGCCTTGCAGCCTCAGACATCACCAACATGGATATAGATGTGATAAGGCGATAAGAACATGGTCACAATTAAGGGTGGTGAGTCCTTCCAACGGCCTCCTATATATTGACTCATTCAATCATTACAATGAAAGAGGAAAATGAGAATGGAGAAGTTAAGTATCTAGCTTAGGTCATATGAACTGGTAAATAATAAAAAGAAAAGCCCTGATTTGGTCCCAGATCCCAGATGCCTGGCTTCTGAAATGAGGGTTTTTTTTTCCCCTTTTTCGCTACTAATCTGCGCCCCCCCCCGCCCTTTTCTGCTTCCACCCATGCCAGACTTCCCGAGACCCAATACTGTATATTTTCCCAGTTCAAATGTTTGACAGAGATTGACTAGATTCTCTGTGTTCCAATTCCAGTGTCCTGGGAGATACAATCTGTTCAGTCAAACTAGGTCAATAGTTCAGTGTACCGTGGAGAGCGAGATGGGGTCATTTGTTCTCACCTGGCAGCCCAGTTCCTCCCAGGGTGGTTAGAGACAACTCTTGTAGAACATATGTGATCTCGGAAGTCATCCTGATGCTATTATAATTTGTGACTTGAAATATAAATATTCTCATCCGAGAAGCCCATTCATGTCACCCCCCTGAACTTCTCCATATATCTTCCATCGTTAATTTTAAATCACTCTAATTTATATTTTCGAAAGAACCATGACTGACAAGATGAACTGTGATCCACTTACTTTAGGTGTTTGCTTCCATGGCCTTCTAGATGACGGAACTTCCACACCAAATAAATACAATGAAGCTCTAGCAGTCTGCAGTTTCCCTTAAAGATAATTGCTAGAATTAAGAACATCATTTAATTCTCACAATCAATTTGAAAGAATTTATACGATTTCCATCTGAATGATGAAGAAACCGATGAAAATATATTAAATTAATTCTCTAGACCATACAGAGTGACAGAATACAGATTCAAACCCCAGTCTGAATGCAGATCCTGAGTTTGAAATGTTTAGACTACACTAACTGATTATCAGCACATATGCTGGTTTTTCACTCATGGAAGCCATATTTGTGGGGCTTATCTGGAAATAGCATAGCAATTTCAGACATGCGAGTCACCCACCCATCAGAGTCTCTGTATTTGTAATTGTTTCTGCTACTTCTTAGAAGAGCAGCTCTCCACAAATCCCCATTACTTCCTGGATGTTTGGTAGCACTGGAACCATCTCTGGGACTCTTTGGGAGCTGGAAGGAAGTGTATTTTGTTAGCTGAGGCTGTGTTTTGAAATCAAGCTACCTGGACTTGGATTCTACCTATGCTTTTTCAGAGCTGTGTAAATTTTAGCAACAACCCAAGCTACACTAAACTCATTTGTAAAACTAAAGAGATGATGCCTGCATTTGTCTTTTTTTATGAGATTACATGAGTTGATACCTGTTGAGTTGATCTGGCTGCCGCTGTTAGGTAATGCTCACTGCAGTGCTTGCTCTTCACTGCCTCCTCCCCTCTACCCATTCCTGCATCTTCCAGGTTTAACATCACAGTCCTCACTGTCCTGCACATTTTAGCATTAGACTCTGTCCTAGAACTTGTGTAACTGTATGGCTATTCAGTCTGCTGTCCTATATATCTTCTGTTGTCAAATACCTTTATAGCTTCTGTGATAAGGGAGTGAGACTCTAGGGCTAACAAATCTTACTGAATTATTGCATAGGAAAGCTAAAAAGGCAAGACCAATACTTTGAATGAACCTTGAATTTTTACAAGGCCATAAAAAACACCTTCCATTAGAAATAGTTTCCAAGGAGGATTCGACAGAGTAGAGAGATGTTAAGTCATCTATAGCTCTTCTGAGAGAATCAGAAAGTATAGTCAGCCATCACTGATTGTCCCCGAGCAGAGTAGCATAGTTAGAAAACATGCCACCTTAAATTTCATTTTAGGATCCACAGAATCTGTGAAGTTGTAGATCTGCATCAGCAATGCTAAGCACCTAATTTCAATTTCCCCCCTTTTTACTTTTCATGGAATGCTTTTGGGTGAACTTTTCTGTTGGTCCTTTACAAAATGAATGAAGTATTTGTTATAATCTCCATTTTTTAATGGAAGTGTTAATTTCCAGAACACGAATGTCTTCTCACTTCATTGCTGAAACCATGGGTTCCTGTGCCTTGAAGCAGAGGACTTAACATCATGGAGTTCAGAATCCAGTGGACTGTTTTTTTTTTGTTGTTGTTTTTTTTTGTTTTTTGGTTTTTTTTTTTCTGTTTGCTGATTAGCATAAAAATACTAATAACTTCTTAAGTTAGAAATATGTTTGGCTGCAACTATTGGGAAGTTAATTCACAGATAAAGAAACAAGTTGTGAACTTAACTGCCAGCACTGGCTGTATTATTTGAGAATTGTCCCTACAACTACAATCCCTTTCCTTTCCCTGTCCTTGCTACCCATTCTGGATCTTCAGAAATAGACGGGCCTAGAAATAAAAAGGGTGAACGTTTTAACCTTCTGTTGCCTTTCCCAGACAAAGCAATGACTCCTTATAATACCCTCCTCCCCAGCCGTGAGCTTGCTTCTCTGGAACAGTATACGCTGTTATATGTCCAGGTCTTGTAGCAGGGGCCGCTGAGAAAGAAGTTTGCCGCCCACCCTCAGAAATGAGGCTGCCCCAGATAAAATAAGTCACCCACTCAACACAGAGAAAAGGTGGAGAGATGAATTTTAGCAGTGCTGGCAAGACTGTCTATCTCTCATAGCTTTTAGAGATATTTTATTCAATATATCTTTGCTAAATAAAGTATGTGATAATTTGCATTATACATATTATTATTAATATTATGATAATTAATATTATAATGACAGCATTGCTTTTATTTTCCATGGATTCCAATCTCATTTGAAAGAATAATGTTAGTTAATAATTACTATCAAAGATGAAAATGTTACCTTCTACTTTTACTCTGCTCAATTTCTAATATGCTTTAATTCATTTTAGCCTCATAGTATTTCCTTAAGGAAGACGAAGAGTATCGTTGTTATGTTTTACAACCGGAAAACTGATTCCCTGCAGAAGCGAAGAGAATAACTTAAATTAATGGTCTTTACTTCATTTTTTTACAGGATGATTTGACATATATGTATCAGTACTCAAGAGCTATCCCTTCATCCAAAAGGACAGAGTAAGTAACATAAATGATAAGCCAGGGTCACTATTGAAAGCTAACAGTAGATAATGTTCTCATACACTAGGACACTTTACAACTTAAAAAGTAATCTTCATTATTCGATATTCAAAAAGCATGATGTAGACATGGCAGGTGAGACCTCAATTTAAATGGTAAATTTAAATGAGAGGAATCTAAGATATCTTATCAATGAAAGAGCTGGTTTGAATGCTCATATTCCCAATTATAGCCCAGTGACCATTTCACCCCCCAGAAGTGCAAATTTTTTCTTTTCCTAAGAAACAATGTTTTGTAGAAATTAGTAATTCTGAACTTTTTAAAGTTAAAGCTTACAAAAGCAAATCAATATCCAGTATATCTACATGTTCCCTTTGACCTCTGTAACATCGAACAAGTTAGAATAATTAATTGTCAGTATTAAAAACTCTATTTTACATAAAATCCTACATTTCCAGCTTCTCTTGACTCTATTTATGCTTGTAACACAATCTCCAACTGGCATTCCTCTGCCTCCCACAACTCTTTTGTAGGCCCCTAATGAGGAAATAAGACAGGCCCTTCACTCCACTGATTTATCTGCCTCTTCTCTGTAGGCAGGTTAGTTTGTGATCCCTCCTTCATGTATAACACGTCATTTTCTGATTCTGGACCTTGGAGCAGATGATAAAGTAGTTTTCTTATTCAGTTCTCAGATTTCTTTGAGATCTTTTTAGATTGAAAATAGAGAAAGAAAAATATATGTTTATTTTTCAAGTTAAATAAAAGAAAACCAAACAATAACAACAACAACAACAACTTCTCACCTGCATTCGTTTGGCCATGATTGATGTATGCTAAGTGTATTCACTCACTGCTAGAAGTGGATGTGACATTGGCAGACTAGGCAGATCGAATACAGCGAAGGTGAATGGGTATCTCTGAAAAGAAGAGGAAGGAGGCAGGTGTTTGTATGAAACACAGGCTGATCACTGTAGGCTCATCTGCCACCAGGGCTTAGATTTGGGTCTTTCGAAGGCCATGGTTTGACTGAGAACCACATAGCCACTCCATCATTAAGTTAACAGGTAGAGTAGGGCTCCTTAAAGGAGTTGACTTACTGTTTGTTTTCCCTCACATAAATATAATTAAATATGAAAGGTGGTGATGGTGGTTGAACATCTGTCTTTAGCTTTCAGATTTTTCACAGTCTGTTGATTAGGTTATGTTTTGTATTATTCCAATGTCCACAGCTGTCAAGTGAAATGGGAGCAGGCCCGCTGGAATCGGGGAGCCGAGGTCTGCGGCAGCTCTTCACGTTCCACGTGGTAATAGCCGGTGACAGCTTCTACTCTGAACAAATTGTTTTCCGTTGGTTGATGGGTCTCAGCTGTTCTAACCTGGGAAGTGATGAGTTTTGCCTTCATTTGGAAAGTAAGATCTGTTCAAATAGAATTGCTGGCTTCTTTCTTTATTATTGTTGGTTTGATTCAAAAAAAATTGCGCGTGTGTATGTGCACATGCCGTGGTCCTTTGGTGCATTTTTTGACAGCAAGTTTTGATCTTACCAAAGCACAATATCTGGAGCTTTCCAAGGTCTGTCTGTTCCTGATATATGAGAGGGAGAGATCAACACAAGGGCAGGGTGAGCACTCAGACAATCTCTCTCCTACCAGGCTCCCTGAGATTGATGTCTTGTCTTGACTCAGGAGCATTTCTTCTCAGGCTGATGTCTTTTCCTCATGAGTGAGGTTAGCTCACACCAATATCCTTGGGTAACACTGAACAGTGGAGTGCTAATTAAAATGGTAGGATCAGGAAACACAGAGGTTCTTCTTTCAGAGGTGTCAGATTGACAGACTTAATTTTATATGCTGTGAGTGTGTGTACAGAGAGCTGGAGTTGAATATGTTGAGATGGAAAGGTCTGGAAGATTCCCCCCCCACCCCACCCCCATGCTTTGATGTTTCTTCCTCTTCTCTGTATCAACATAGGATCTTAGGAAAGTATCTAAACACATTTTGTCCCAAAGGTGTAAATATTGAATAATTGCTGGGTTGCTTAGGTTTTAATAAGAAATAATTAAAAGTACCTATTGCTCTCCAATAGAACTTTCTGTCTTGATGGAAATGCTGTATGGTTGTGTGTCCAAATCTATAGCCACTGGCCACATTTTCTTATTAAGCTTTGAAATGTGGTTGGTACAAATGAAAAACTCAATTTTTATTTTTAGTTCATTTTGGTTAACTTAAAATATCCACATGTGGGTGGTAACTACCATAGCAAGGGCAAAAACAGATCACTCATGATGAGACTTAAAGGTTTCACCTACTTCAAATGAAGTGGGTTTTTGTTGTTGTTGTTGTTGTTGTTTGTTTCCAGAAGAGCTTACATTTCCTGGCAGCACCAAAATGCCATTAGTGCCACCTGTAAGGAGAACACTTACCATCTTTAGTGTCAAGCACGAGGGTGATTGGATCACAAGCAACAACAAGACATTTGAAGAATATACATCTGAGTGAATGCATAGTACTAGTAAGTAATACAATATATGGCTTTAGCAGTCATTTATTGGAGACAGGCAATGTGAAAAATTATGTTTCTTGTATTATTTAGGCAACAATCCTTTGAGGTACATATTATTGCCATTTCAATTTTACAGATAAAGAAATTGAAGGGTAGGAAATTAAGGCCTTGCCCTAATCTTATAAAGGTAGTAAATACTGAAGTCTTGTCTTCAACCTGGTTCTGTCCAATATCTACAGTCCCAGCTACAGTCACTATTGTGACATAGTCCTAAAAGTCAGCTGGCTTTTAAAGGCTGTTAATGAATCCCTTATCCTAACGCAGTGGCTGTCCATATCTGGGCTCCCTGTCTTTTCTTTCCTTGATGACTATATTGAAGATAAAATGATGTCTGGATGCAACTAACACAGAGTAAACACCCTATAAAAAGGCAGCTGTATTATTTCTTACTATCATCGTAATTACATGACATTTCTATAAACTCTAATTGCCTATGTGATATCAATCAGAAGGGTCACTGAATCATGAATAGATATCATAAGTGATTCTGCCCTTAATGTCACCAGTGACAAAAATATCAGAAAATTATAGTTCTGAAGATTAAAGGGGTCCAAAGAAAGTAGCTAAAAACATTTCATCCTGGAGAGAAGAACTCTATGGCTGAGTGTGGTGGTCTTCTCTTTTCAAAATTGGTAATGGTCCTTATGAATAGACTTGCCAATGTTTCCTAATTTGGGATTTTTTTTAAAAAAAGCCTCCTATACCCCATTGTTCAAATAATTATTGCAGGGTGAAACTAGATGGGGAGGGGGATCTTTAAATTATATTGAATTATTAATTGAAACAGGGATTCCATCTGCAAATTTTCCACTGGCTGTAGGAAATTACTTTCTTGCCGTTCATTCTCCCTGGAATAGATTTCCTGGCATTCCCACCCATAGGACGTGTCAGCTACTGCTCTGAACACTGAGGTTGGTGAAAGCTGTTCTACTGATTATATTAGGAGGGGGAAAAATCTACCACAAAGCACTTAGCTGTCAGCCATATGATCTGAAGTAAATTCAATGAATTGATCTGTTTTAATTCTTCAGTATTTCTAATTGGTCCCATGCTGATTGCCAGTGAGTACTTATAGCATTACATTCAGATTAACCATTTGATTGCTAATCTTTGTGTTATCGATAGACTGCGATTTCAGGGCTCTTCAATTTGACTATAACTTCACAGCAGACACATTAGCATTGTTTTCTGTTTCTTTGTGACCTGTAACATTTTGGATGCCACAAAATATATTCAAAGGGTTCCCGGTGGATTAGCAAAGAAAGCAAATTCCTGATGGATCAGATGGTGACCTCTTGGTCCGGTGGTAATGAAGACTTTCACGTGTTGTCTATTCTGCACTGAGATGCAAGCAAGAAACAATGACTGGAGAATTTCCTGACTATAAGGCTGAGAAATCCAGGCAGAACAATGCAGACTTGTTACTGGGCAGGAATATAGTTGAAGGAGGGCCAGTTCTAGAAGGTGAGCTTTGAGAAATATCAAACATCTGAAGGAGGGAGGGAAACATCTGGGGAGAAGACCACCTGTCTGTGTGGGGGTGAGGAAGAGATGAAGCCGTGGAGTGGGGGTCAGTTCAAGTGCTTCTCTGCTGGAGGAGGGCTTTGTCTCTACAAACCAAGGCACAGCATCTGAAATCGAACAAGTTGGACACGAGATTGAGTTTTCTGTTTCAATTGTTTATAAAGGGTCACATACTTTCCTTTGAACTAAACAGAAGCCATAAGAGACTAGATGGGAATTAATAATGAGGAGCTAGGAAGAAAGGGTGGGAGGGTGGAAGGGAAGGAGAGAGGGAGGGAGGAAAGGAAGGAGGAAGGGATGGAGGAAGGGAGGGAGGAAGGGATGGAGGAAGGGAGGGAGGAGGGATAAACGTTAAAAAAATAAAGTATAAAGCACAGACTGACTCAGCAGCATTTTATTGACTTAACAGGATGATGATTCTTCCTCCTCCTAATGTAGGTTATAAGGGATGGAAAATCATATGTACTTGGTCCTGAAATTCCTTAAAGGAGAACTTATTAGTCTGAGTCTGTATCTTCACTGATAGCCAGGTTGAGGTTTTAGAAAGAAAGAAATTGAAATTAGAAATTAAATAAGGGAAATTCAAGGATGATTATTAAATGAACTGCAATCAGATGTTAAAGGGATATATCAAACATTAAAGTTACATATTACAATATTACAATCACAATTTAATGGTTAGAGAAATGGGTTTACAAAGAAATTGAGTAGCAAGGGCTGGCACCTGAAACGTTCTCCAATGGACATTGTTTGTTGCAGGCTGTTATTGTGTTCAGGAGGCAGAATCTTGTCTACCCTCTCAGACACAGCATGACCTTTGACAATTTCCACAGAAACACCTTTTTTTTCTACATACATGTACGTGTGTCCGTTGCCCACAATGTCTTACTTCTTGTGTTTTTTTTTTTCAGAATACACTATTCTTACCAGTGTATTTTTTTTATATATAAGCACTGAATTCCCTATTTTTAAATGTGGTTCATGTCTAACAAGAAAGAAGTGTTATTTGGTTTGTAGCCTATTAGTTAACATCATTGCTTTCATGATATCTGAGAGGTCATAATTGGAGCTAAAGATAGACTGACCCAAGACCATCTTGAGGAAGCAACTTTCACCCAAGTATTATAATACCACAGCTTTTCCTGTTTTTTAATTCCAATTCTTCCTATAACCCGTATTGTCACAGTCAGAGCCTATAATGAACAGATATAAACATTGCCACAATTGTGTGGAGGAAATGTCTAGAACTTGTTAGGTCTGGAGCTTCAACATATGCAGGGTCTATTTCAGATTTCATAGATTTCTTCTTTGAGATATTTATTGGGATAATTGGAGATTTATGTGCAGTGGTCAGAAGTAAGACAGAGAGATCCTGCATCCAATTTGCCCATTTTCCTTCAATGGTCACATTTAAAAAAAAAAAAAACTATAGTTAACATCAAAACCAAATCATTGACATTGAAACAAACCACAGATCTTATGCAAACCCCCACAGTTTTACTTTTACTGTGTGTGAGTGTGTGTGTGTGTGTGTGTGTGTGTGTGTGAAGTCCTATGTAATTTTATCAACTGTGTTGGTTTCTGTGTCTGCAACCACAGTCAAAATACAGATCTACTGCAGCAAGGCCCCCAGATGTTCCCCTTGTATCAGCACACCCGCCTTCCTTCAGTCTCCCCACTTCACAGATTTTTTAAACTTTAAAAGAGTCCAAATTTTACACATCACTACAGGAGTGTCTAAAATCTATAAATAGGGGAAATTCAGGATGCAATCAAGATTCAAATTAAAATTAGCTTTAGGAAGCAGTAGCTGTAGTAGCTGCATGGGAATACAGGCTCACACAATGACATTTTTTATTGAGGAAATAGTCTCCAATCCCTGGTTAAGCCACAGAGGAAGAGAGGGAGATTTGGTTTTTTTTTTTTTTCTTTTTTCTTTTTTCTTTTTAACATCTATAAGTTTCCTCCAAATTCAAATGACTAACAAATCTTCAAAAATTAATAGTACACCTTCCCAGTCTTCAACCTTAGATAATATAATACTTGTTAAAAGTCCTTAAACCAGTTTACTATTAATTTATTTTCTTATCAAAACGTTTTTCCTTAGGAAATACTTTTACCTGAGGGATTTCTGGGACAAAAGATAACATGTCAATAACAGATTCATACTATACAAATGTTGTCCAGAAAAGAGGCTCCAGTTTATACCCTTACTTTAATATTGCACTGGCCAAACGGAGTATTATTTTGCATTTTAATTGATATGATTTTTATGTGAATATTTGTTTTTCACTGCATTATCATTTTAAATTGCATATAACTGA